TGCACTGACGCTGGCCCCTCGCTGCCCCTCAGGAGATGAAGAACCTCCAGGCCCAGGTCTCTGACTCAGCGTTGACGGTGGAGGTGGACGCGCCCAAGTCGCAGGATCTGGGCAAGATCATGGCGGAGATCCGGGCGCAGTACGACGCCCTGGCCCAGAAGAACCTGGAGGACCTGGAGAAGCAATGGGGGCAGCAGGTAGGTCCATCCCCTCCCCTAAACCAGCATCACGAGGGGGCCCAGTGGTCCCCAGGCACCCCCCATGGGGGGCCCTGGGGGACACCAAGCCAAGGAGGGGGGCAGCCCCCAGCTCAATGGGGTGGTCATCCAGGGGCCCTGATACAAAGGGAGTCCCGGCCAAGGGGGGTGTTCCCCTGGGGGTCCCCCAGTCTGACCTAGAGGTGTTCCCCAAAGGCACCCCATGAGGAGGACTTGACCCCATGAGGTCCTGGCCGAATATCAGGGACACTCTTGGGACGACCCCAACCCATAGGGGACCCTGATCCCACAGTGGGGACCTTCTCCAAGGAGGTCCTAGTCTAACGTCTGGGAACACTCCTAGGAGACCCCTATCCCATGTGAGACACCAAGCCTGGAGTGGGGATCCTCTCCAAGAGGGTCCTGCTCCAACATCGAGGACTTTCCTGGACAACTCCTATCCCATGTGGGACCCCAGTCCTTTGGGTTGGCTCTTCCTGGGGGGGGCTTCACTCCCCATGCCCTCTTCATGGGGTGGCCGTGGTGGACAGGGCCAAGACGCTGACCCCCAAACCACATGTGTGTGTGTCCCCCAGATCACCGAGAGCACCATCGAGATCACGCAGAGCAGCAAGGACATCGACACCGCCCGCAGCACCGTGGTGGACCTCCGTCGCTCCGTCCAGACCCTGGAGATTGACCTGGAGTCCCTCCGCAACCAGGTGCCCCCCCACGAGACACCCACACACACACACCCCCAGCCCCACGGGGCCACCTGGGCAGTGGGCTGAGCCTTGGCGTGATGCTCTGCAGAAAGCCGGCTTGGAGGCCAACCTGCTGGAGGTGCAGAACCGCTACGCCATGCAGATGGAGCAGCTCAATGGCCTGATCCTGCGGAAAAGCAGGTGCGCAACGAGCTGCAGCGCCAGGCCGAGGAGTACCAGACGCTGCTCAACCTCAAGGGCAAGCTGGAGGCTGAGATCGCGACCTACCGGCAGCTGCTGGAGGGAGGAGAGGAGTTCAGGTAGAGGGGACGGGGTGGGGGCGGCGGGGTGTCATCCAGCGGGGCTGGGATGTCCCGGGTCCATCATGAAGGGTGGGCTTAGGGTGGGAAGGGATAGCAGTGGCATCCAGCCAGGGTGAGCCCTGGGTGCCAGGACGTCCCAGGTCCCATCGCCCACGGTGCCCTGGGGACAGCAAGGGGACAGCGGTGCCATCCAGCCAGGGCGAGCCCCAGGTGCTGGGATGTCCCAGGTCTCACCCTTCAGGATGCTCCAGCCCCATCACCTCGCAGTTCCTTGGGGTGACACTGG